ATTATGAATATAGAGCGTAGAAGATGCATTTAGTGCGAGTGAAACTTTAAAATAAGTTTAAATAGTGATCTCTAAATGGTAATACAACGTGATAATGATGAAATGGAAGTGTAACATAAATATATTTGTAGCTGAAATCCGAAATATAGAAAGTATAATAGATTTAATAATGAGGTATATGAAATGATATACTATAAAATAAAAGAATGAAATAGTAAAGAAAAAATAATAATTCTGCATTCATACTAGCTGACAAACATATTGTTGTAACGTTCGAACGCTCGTAACCGCCAACACCAATGTCGTAACTTCATTGATCTCACTACTCCCAACAACAGTGTACATTCAATTCATACAGAGACGAAATGAGGGAGAAAAGTATACACAAACATGTACACTGATAAAGTAAGCGGGCGTCCATACATTCAAGTAGGGTACAGAAGAAGAGAGATTGCACATAGAAACAAAACTAGAAACATTGGTGAATGCCAAAAGGTGCATAGATGAATTTAATACTCATTCAGATTTTCAAAAATTGAAACATTACCAATAAATTTCTAACTTTCGTTCAAACGTCGACGATGTGGCGAATGTTATTTAAATTGAAACCCTCAGTCAAACAGAAAATGATACCATCATTTGGTTATGGTTTTATTTTTTTGTGGATATAAATCACAAATTGTTTTGCCTATAAGTAAAAAAATCATTAAATTTTTCAAAATGTTGTAAATTGATAACAACACATACACACACACACACACACACACGTGTTTAAGGTCTCTTTTTCCTTTCCTATTTCGCTCATTCTCTCTCTCTCTCTCTCTCTCTCTCTCTCTTTCTCTCTCTCTCTGTCCATCTTTTTCTTTCTCTTTGACCTATTTTTTTCACTTTTTCTCTTTTTCTCATAATCTCGCTTTTCTCTCTCTCTCTCTCCAGACGTATAGATGTGATAATTGGAAGGCGATGTGTGGTGATTGTGTTGTGAGTGACGATGATTTGACGACAATGCTGCTGCTGATGATGATGATGATGTTGCAACGATGATGTTGATGATGATGATGTCTTGTTGTTGTTTTTGTTGTTGCAGGTGATGTTGATAATAATGCAAGAGCCTTCTTGAGTGGAACATGGATTACTCTATTTTCAGCGTTTTTTCTAGAATCGATTTGATTTCATTTTTTTTCAAGGTAGATTTCACAATGAAAGGAATGATGATGATGATGATGGTGAGAGAGATGATACTGATGATGACGACGATAATGATGATGAGGAAGATGCTATGATGATGATGATGGCGACGAGGAAGAAAGAGAAGAAAGTTGATGATGTTATACTGCTACTGACGTTGAAAAAGATGACGATGATGATAATTTACTAAAATAATAAGCACAAATTAGACAAATAAATATAAAATTAATAATAATAATAAACAGTAAATGAATTTATTTAAAAATATTATTTAATAATTTTAATTTATTGATAAAGTTTGTTTGGTCAGAATTTTATTTCACAAAGTATGAACCAGGCGAATGTTTCAAAATAAATAACTGCCTGGCGAATGCCAAAGTAGACAGATTTGGTCAATGGAATTGTTTTTCCTTCTCTCTTTCTCTCCCTCTCTTTCTCTCTCATTTTTCTTCCTCTCTTTCACTATTTCTTCCATTTATAAATGCATTAATTCATAGGAAATGTATATTTGCAGTTATAACATAATAAAATATATATGTGATATATATGGCCAGTACATATGCAATGTATATTTATGTTTTATATGGATATATGTAAGTATGTATGTTTGTTTGTTCGTTTGTCTGTATGTATGTATGTATGTATGTACGTATGTACGTATGTATGTATGCACGTATTATTATTATTATCAACAATTTATTAAGCGCATTATAAAATTAAAATTTCTCGAAAGCGCTCTCCATTATAAATGAAATCAGTGAAGGTCAATAAAGTACAAATCAATAAAGTATTCCTATATCAAAATAAATATGTTTTTAAGTTCCTTTCAAAATCATCAAGCTTTAGTCCAGGCATTCTGAGCGATTGCGGAAGATTGTTGCAGGCAATTGGTCCTGACACGGCAATATTTCTAGTTGCAGTTTGTAGTTGAGTAAGTTGTCAATATATCTTGTCTACTAGCATCAACTGATTTTGAGAGTGAATCTAAGTTGAACGGAAGCTTCACACAACTATCACAGAACCATTTCAAACCACTGCAGTTTTTCAAAGCATCGGGTAAACTATCGTTAGTAGAAATACACTTCACATGTACGACAATATCACAACGACTGCAACGTAATACACTATCCTTATCTTCGACATTTGTACTGCCCAAACACTTCGCACATTTAGGCTGAGCGTTGCAATTAGTCACGCGATAACAACAAATTAAAAAGCTTACAAATTTAGTTCAAACTCAGCGAAAACTGTGTAATTAAATTACTCTCAGCCTTAGTAAATAATAAATTTAAGTGATATGCTATGAAACTAAAATTACGCTCGAATACTAATGTAATGAATGTATGTGCTCATCTGTGCATTTGTGTGTTGTGTGTAATACGCAAATGCGTGTAATGCATGTATGTATATATGTGTATAAGTATGTATGTATGTACGTATGTATGTATGTACGTACGTATGTATGTATTGTATATATGTGTATAAGTTTGAATCCATGTATGTACGATTCTGATAAAATGTGAGCCTATAGGCTTACATTATATACAGAAATGATGAAAATAACAACGTTTTTTGACAGCTAAATATTATCGTCTGCCTTTATTTTCCGCGGGAAATAATATCTAAAAAATATATGACTATAATTAGATCGTAATACAGTTATAATAAATTTATCTTATTATATTATTAATATACCGTTTAGCGTTTTGAAAGTTTAAAACATTAATTTTTTATTGAAATATTTAATAGAATATTATCAATCTTTTAAAGTATTTTGAATTATTTGTTTTAAAAGTCAATCAATCAATTAATTAATTATTCAACCAGTTAATTACATAATTAATTAATTGATTACCTAATTAATTAATTAAATTTATTATTCAAAATGAAGTTGATGATGTCGTTGATGTCGTTGATGTTGTTTCTTTCAATGTTGGCCTCAATTAAGATAGCTGGTAAAATTTCTATATATCAAATATAACACATGTTATAACATTAATAACATTAGACACATAAACCCACATACACTCACAAACACACACACTTACACACATCCACAAACACACATTCACACATACACACACAATAACAGATACAGATTTTAACATCAAATCATAAAACCATAACAGCAAGTTCAGTTTTCTGATGTTTGTTTACAACTATTGGTATGAAATGTAAGCAGTCAGAGAGCGGTAATTAATCAAAGACCCCATCAAAGATTTAGCTCAGCGTTTGAAAAAAATTTTCAGTTAAAGATACTTATTAAACATTTAAGGTTTTATTAATGTTTTAGAACGCGTTCTACACACACACACACACAAACACACTCACACACACACGCACACACTCACGCACACACACACATACACACGCACATACACAGATATATGAATATATTTCTATTTATATATAAGTACCTATAAAATAGGAGGAGCGAGGAAGGAAGGAAGAAAAAGAGCGAGAGAGAGAGAAAGGTAGATAAAGAAAGAAAGAGAGAGTGAGAGAGCACATGATGTTTTTCCAATTATATAGTTTTATAAAATATGAGATATAAAATAATTAAAATAAGTTAAAATATATGGCACCGAAAGGTTGTAAACGCTTCAAAGGATAAAATTTGAAACAACTTTGCACAGCAAGTCCCAAAATAATCAAAATTTAATTTTCTATTTTTAAAAGATCCAACCATTTTTTCTATAAAACAATCAGCCGTCCACTTTATATTTCACCAAAAAATAGCATCTATTGGTCAATATAAAAACATGGACAATGTAAAACCACAAAAAACAACAACAAACATAGAAAAAAAAATTTTTTTCAACACATCGATACATAAATATCAACCGGAAATAAATCACGGCGTATAAGCGTCAGAGAGCGAATGACGTAAAAACGGAACGTAATGGTTTTTTATTGAATAGGGCTGAAATATTATGGGTCCGAAAGTGATCCTAATTTAAAATGGCGGTCGAGTAGGCGAGCGTTGAAGAATTTCTAGAACGAAAGAGAAAAAATGTATTCCGCGTGACGCAGAAATTGAAATAATGCGCCAGTGATATTCTAGAATGTTCTCCAGCACTTATTTGAGTTCACCATGCTCAACTTCCTACTCATCATCGTCGTCATCATCTTCATCATCGTCGTCATCATCTTCATCATCGTCGTCATCATCTTCATCATCGTCGTCATCATCTTCATCATCGTCGTCATCATCTTCATCATCCTGTCGTCATCATCTTCATCATCGTCGTCATCATCTTCATCATCCTGTCGTCATCATCTTCATCATCCTGTCGTCATCATCTTCATCATCGTCGTCATCATCTTCATCATCGTCGTCATCATCTTCATCATCGTCGTCATCATCTTCATCATCGTCGTCATCATCTTCATCATCCTGTCGTCATCATCTTCATCATCGTCGTCATCATCTTCATCATCCTGTCGTCATCATCTTCATCATCCTGTCGTCATCATCTTCATCATCGTCGTCATCATCTTCATCATCGTCGTCATCATCTTCATCATCCTGTCGTCATCATCTTCATCATCATCGTAGTCGTTAAATTCGACAACATATACACATCACCATCGTCATCGTCGTCGTCATCATCACCATCATCATTATCATCATCACAGCAAGCTACCCATGTATTGACATTTTCTTGCTTTCAACCTAAGCGTACTTTGTAGTAACAATTTTCTATATATATATATATATACAGCTGTATACAAATGTATATATAGATATATACACACACATATATATATATATATATATACACATATATATATATATATAGCAAATAGAGATGTGTATGATGATGTATGGCGTGTACACTTTTGCTGTTGCTGCAACATTGCAGGACGCACAGGTATCGTGCTCATTTGCGCTGTTGTACACGTACGTACATACATACATACATACATACATACATACATACATACATACATACATACATACATACATACATACATACATACATACATACATACATACATACATACATACATACATACATACATACATACATACATACATACATACATACATACATACATACATACATACAAACATACATACATACATACATACATACATACATACATACATACATACATACATACATACATACATACATACATACATACATACATACATACATACATACATCCATACATGATGTTTGACGGTTCAGTGTCACTCATCATGTTTTGGTTTTAACATACATACATACATTTGCCACATACACATATATACAAAAATTTCATTACCAAGACACGCCTGTCTGCGAATTATATAAACTTGTATTACAAGACTTACGTTTCATCGACGTCATCATCGTCATCGTCGTCTTCATCATCATGGTCATCATCGTCATTCTGCACACCGGAAGTCTTCCGTATTCTAATTCTGATTGACGTCATGTTTCATGAGATCACGAGACGTAGATGGATGGATGGATGAATGAATGGATGAAACATGGAAAAACAAATTTTTCATTATAATTAGAAAAATGGCAGATTAAATGAACAAATAAACGAACGAACGATTGATCGTTCGATAAACGAACAAACGAACGAACAAAGAATGAACCGAACGAACCGAAATTTTTTTAAAACAAACAAACACAAATATGGAAAAAATGATAAAATTATTAAAATGACCAAATTGGAAAGAGAATAGGGACTAAACAATTGACAAGCAAACAATTTTCATAACTCCTAGGAATGAAATAAAATTGAAAGAAAGAAAATGAATGAATGAATGAATGAACAAACGAAGGAAATAATAAATAAATGAATAAATGAATGAACGAATGAAATAATGAATGAATGAATGAATTATCAAATTATCCTATCACCATCATCATCATCTTCATCATACCTTCAGTTAATGTTAGTAAAAAATTTATCATGTTCCTTCTGTATTTGCATTTCGACTCGACACACAATGTAACCACGCACCAGCGCATAACGATGTTCATATTACTTCATACATGTATAAATACATACATGAATCCATACAAACACACGCATAACGATGTTCATATTACTTCATACATGTATAAATACATACATGAATCCATACAAACACACACACACACACACACATAAACACACACGCATATACAGACAGAAAAAACACATTTAAAAAACACATATACACGTACAAGCAAGTATATACAACTAGAAAATTTAAAAGTTGGATACAGGGATATATATATTTTTATATAAATATATGTACATATTTATGTATATATATATATATATATATATATATATATATATATAAGCACAAACACATGCACACACACAAATTCAAACATACCCACCCATACATACACACTTACGCAAACACGTACACACACACACAAACAAACACACACACAAGCAGATAGCGTGACGAAAGGAGAGTACAGAATCATACTGCGACCAAAAGAGGCATCGCTTCGTCGCAGCGTCAACTCGTCTATCGTCCTCATCTGCAAGGTCCAGTACGTAAGCGATGCTCGCGACGACGACGACGACGACGACAGCAATGACGACGTCGATGTTGATGATGATCCTGCTAACGGGGGGGCGTTCAACTTGAAATGGATCAGTCCCATTGGGGAGGAAATTCAGAA